AGGCATTCACGATAATAAGACCTCCAGGAGCGTAAATTGTCGAAAAGTAAATATCTTTGTATATATAATGCGTAATGCATCCACAAATGATTGATATAGTGGGGATCTGGTGGTCTTCCCCTGGAAATTTCTTAGTGTGTATGTTTTTGTTTTCGTAAGGGTTAGATCAAAGAAGCTATATCGTTCAATTTTACATTCAGGTGTATTGGAGATGTTCTTTCCATTAACAATACAAACTTTTCTGATTGGGACCCATTAATAGTCATGAATAAGAGATTACAGACACAACATATACAGCTTCCTCGGCCGCTTTTTTTAGACATATATCCCGAATTTGCTTACACCGGTCATCTCAATACCAGAGTCTATAACAAACGAGATGATTTCAATTTTGATATTATAAATTTTCCTCACCTTAGCAGCGATTCACCAACTTCATCCGATTCACCAACTTCATCCGCGTATGGAGTATACATTTTTCAACTCATTAGATTTTCAGGAGCTTGCTGCTGCTACTCAGAGTTTGTAAAACGTTATTGGTGCCTGAGCAAAAAATTAATGAGCAGGGTTTTGTGAAAGAACATCTCGTCCTTTTTCTCAAAAAGTTCATTGGAAAGTACCAAGACCTAATAAAATAATATTCACTGTCTAATTAAAAAATAATACAGGATGGTCTTGAGTTATAGATTTTATGTGCTGACTATGTGTAGCATTCTATCTACTTTACAGTTTTACCTTTATTTGTTTTTGTACTATTATGTTCCATTTAGTCGTATGCCTCTTGGCGTGGTTCGGTATATGTGCATCCAGCTTTCAGGTTTTTGGCTTTTGGCGTTCCTTATGTTCCTTATGAAAGTCATGCGTACAAGTTTGAAAGTCGTGCGAACTAGTTCTTGAAAGTTGTGAACACCATGTTTTAAAGTCGTGAGCACGAGTTTGCAAGTCGTGCGCACCATTTTGAAAGTCGTGCACGCCAGTTTGAAAATCATGCGCACCAGTTTAAAAGTCATGCGCACAAGATTGAAAGTCATGCGCACCAGTTTGAAAGTAGTTCTTGAAAGTCATACACATCTTGTTTGAAAGTCATGCGCACAAGTTTTAAAGTCATGCGCACAAGTTTTAAAGTCATGCGCACAAGTTTTGAAGTCGTGCGCACTAGTTCTTGAAAGTCGTGCACACCATTTTTGAAAGTCGTGCACACCATTTTGAAAGTTGTGCACACCAGTTTGAAAGTAGTGCGCGCCAGTTTGAAAGTCATGCGCACCATTTTGGAAGTCGTGCGCGCCAGTTTGAAAGTCATGCGCACCAGTTTAAAAGTTATGCGCAAATGTTTGAAAGTCGTGCGCACGAGCTATAAAGTCGTTAGCACCAGTTCTTGAAAGTCGTGCACACCATTTTTGAAAGTCGTGCGCACCAGTTTGAAAGTCATGCGCGCCAGTTTGAAAGTCAAACGCTCCAGTTTGAAAGTCATGCGCTCAAGTTTGAAAGTTGTGCACACGAGTTTGAAAGTCGTGCCAACGAGTTTCAAAATTGCGTGTTCGATTTTTCAAATACAATACAAAATTTTCTGATTGGGACCCATTAATAGTCATGAATTAGAGATTACAGACACCACATATACAGCTTCCTCGGCCTCTTTTTTTAGACATATACCACGAATTTGCTTACACCGGTCATCTCAATACCAGAGTCTATAACAAACGAGATGATTTCAATTTTGATATTATAAATTTTCCTCACCATTGCAGCGATTCACCAACTTCATCCGATTCACCAACTTCATCCGATTCACCAACTTCATTCGCGTATGGAGTGTACATTTTTCAATTCATTAGATTTTCAGGAGCTTGCTATCTACTTTACAGTTTTACCTTTATTTGTCTTTGTACTATTATGTTCCATTTAATCGTATGCCTCTTGAGGTGGTTCGGTATATGTGCATCCAGCTTTCAGGTTTTTGGCTTTTGGCGTTCCTTATGTTCCTTATGAAAGTCATGCGCACAAATTTGAAATTCGTGCTAACTAGTTCTTGAAAGTCGTGCCAACTAGTTCTTGAAAGTTGTTTGTTAAGTTGTATCAGTTAATTGATTATGAAGATATTAAATGTTGACGGAATGACTTCAGTTTTCAGTCATGAGCACGAGTTTGCAAGTAGTGCGCACCATTTTGAAAGTCGTGCACGCCAGTTTGAAAGTCATGCGCACAAGATTGAAAGTCATGCGCACAAATTTTGAAGTCGTGCGCGCCAGTTTGAAAGTCATGCGCACCATTTTCGAAGTCGTGCACACCATTTTGAAAGTCGTGCACACCAGTTTGAAAGTATGGCGCGCCAGTTTGAAAGTCATGCGCACCATTTTGGAAGTCGTGCGCGCCAGTTTGAAAGTCATGCGCACCAGTTTAAAAGTCATTCGCAAATTTTTGAAAGTCGTGCGCACGAGCTGAAAAGTCGTTAGCACCAGTTCTTGAAAGTCGTGCACACCATTTTTGAAAGTCGTGCGCACCAGTTTGAAAGTCATGCGCGCCAGTTTGAAAGTCAAACGCTCCAGTTTGAAAGTCATGCGCTCAAGTTTAAAAGTTGTGCACACGAGTTCGAAAGTCGTGCCAACGAGTTTCAAAATTGTGTGTTCGATTTTTCAAAATTCATAAAAATAAAAGACGAACAACAATAACAAAACACTACATGAAAAATACAAGAGATTGAACCCCACCAGTAATCCGGGTAAAGCTCAAGCGCTCCGGGAGAGTAAGCAGCGCTTAGTCATTCCCGTCGTATTACTATTGTTAAAATACATTTATGAGTCATATCCTGTGATTAGGCATCTTTCAATAGCGGATTTATAATTGTTTCTTATCTAACCTTAGACATAACCAAATGCAAAATCCATAGGTACATGTAAAGTCCCAAAGAGTTAACCTAATATTAAAGGTTAAAATTAATGAAAACATGTCAAGGACAAACGAGTAGCGCCAACATAGACATTGAAAAATTAAAAAATAGCTAATAGCACAATATACAAAACGGAAAACCAAAGCATTAGGGGACGACCATTTGATATTCTGGGGGGAGGGGGGGGGGGGGGGGGGGCATTTGAAAATAAATAACTCAGCCTTGATAATAACAATTATGAATGGTTTGCTCTGTGCTAGTTCGAAAACAAATAACCTGACTTACAATGTATTGAAAATAAATAACTCGCCAGGTCTTTTAAGCCATTTTATAAATGCTATTCTAAAGTATGAGATGACACCAGATTCTTCCAAAATTCATCTTTTTCATATTTTTTTCGGGAAAAACTTCCCAAATATTTTAATAATACAATGTATAAATATTAATGTACTCAGTGAAATGTCTGAAAATGGGTTTCATTTAACTTGAGGTATATTGTCTCAGGAACATTTACCTCACTTTTATCACAGGGCCGTAACTACATTGAGGCAAATGCCTCATGTAGGAAATTACAAAAACAAAAGCTTGTCTTCATATCAAATTGTTTTTAGGGCGAGTGCCTTGCAAGAAGCAAGTTCTGTTCACCCTCTGACATAGCCCCCGTTTTTTAGGATCCATGTTTCTCATTTATTTTTAGTTTTCAGTGTTGTTTATCTATTGTTTGTCGTTTTGTGCTTTATCTGTCCCCGGGTTTGCCCTTCTTTAGTCTCTTAGTGTTGCATTTCATTTGTAATTTAGTAATTTTGTTTTAATCTTGAGTTTTATTTTATTTAAGGACTTTTTATCTAATTTTACAAACTACTTTTAATTGTATCCCAGTTAGGAACTACATCAAGTTGTAATTGAAATGTGTTATAAAAACTTACTTGACATAGCTATATCAATAATAATCAGCCCCCTCTTAACTTAATTTGAAAAAAACCACATAATTGACAGGTATAAAATATTTTCTGCAAGCCGAAACACAAAAAAAAAAAACAGCAGCCACATACTTAACTATGTGAATTATTTTTTTGCTTTATCCTACATATTGGTCTTTTGATGTTGTCCCTAAAAACTAAAAGTCTTATACTGAATCTATATATTTTGCTTTGAGACCAAAATATGGTCGAAAAATTATTAAACAGAATTTGCGTTTCAGATTAAGAAATAAAAGGGTCTGAGAAACGCGCAGAATGCACGATTTTGCATCATTTTTTCTATAGCTTCTTGGGGCCTTCAGTGGAGTGTCCCCCAAACCCTTCACCGAAAATTTATTCGCCTCGCTGTAATGATTGACATTACTTTTAAAAGAGGCTAGTTACAGCCCAACTTTAATACCTTGTATGTACGCAATATATGGAGTTGGGAATTCAGAAGATTCACTTCCAGACGAGGAGGATTAATTCTGATTAAATGGTACATAATGACTTGACTATACATGTATTATTTATTTAAGAATAAAAAAATGAATTTAAAAATTGTGTGTTCTCAAATATCATAAATATAATTGTGAAAATAAATAATCAGTCCCTTGTTTTAATAAAAATGAAAAATCATGCTTCAACAGTGCAGAAAATAAATAATCTGCCCTTTTAGTCCATAAAAGTATATAATCGATCCAAAACAAATCCTCCTGTCCCCCCCCCCCCCCCCCCCCAGAATATCAAGTCGTCCCCTTAGCAAAAGAATCCCCTATAATTTAGTGGTGTGCTCCGGAAGGGTAAGCAGTTTCTGCTCCACTAGTGGCACCCGTCGTGTTACTACTTGCAAGTAAAATACGATGATAAGTTACATTCTGTATTTTCAAAAGCAAGAGCTTCCAAAGATTCAACACTTTCTTTTTTTCTTTATGAAGATAGAAATTATAAACAAATTACTAATTAATTTTATGCAACATGCTTATCAGAGCAAGAGACGATATCGTAGATAAAAAGTCCCCAAAACAGCTCCGACAGCAGTTAAATATGTATCTATTATAGCGTAACATTCAGGCCAATGAATCGTAAAATGATGCATGTAATATAAAAAATAAATAAATAAAAAGAGTGCATCATTGTTTTTCTATTCACAGGTAACACTGTACTCGGAAGTTGCATGGTCATGGCATAACCTTGATAACGTAGATTACCATTGTTGGTCATTATCAGCCAGTGCTGAACATCCAACACCACATTCGCCAGTATGCACAGGTTCGTAGGTACATAAGATAGATTACAATTGTTGGTCATTATCAGCTAGTGCTGAACATCCAACACCACATTCGCCAGTATGCACAGGTTCGTAGGTATATAACGTAGATTACCATTTTCGGTCGTTATCAGCTAGTGCTGAACATCCAACACCACATTCGCCAGTATGCACAGGTTCGTAGGTATATAACGTAGATTACCATTTTCGGTCGTTATCAGCTAGTGCTGAACATCTAACACCACATTCGCCAGTATGCACAGGTTCGTAGGTATATAACGTAGATTACCATTTTCGGTCGTTATCAGCTAGTGCTGAACATCCAACACCACATTCGCCAGTATGCACAGGTTCGTAGGTATATAACGTAGATTACCATTTTCGGTCGTTATCAGCTAGTGCTGAACATCTAACACCACATTCGCCAGTATGCACAGGTTCGTAGGTATATAACGTAGATTACCATTTTCGGTCGTTATCAGCTAGTGCTGAACATCTAACACCACATTCGCCAGTATGCACAGGTTCGTAGGTATATAACGTAGATTACCATTTTCGGTCGTTATCAGCTAGTGCTGAACATCTAACACCACATTCGCCAGTATGCACAGGTTCGTAGGTATATAACGTAGATTACCATTTTCGGTCGTTATCAGCTAGTGCTGAACATCTAACACCACATTCGCCAGTATGCACAGGTTCATAGGTATATAAATACTTCCGTGTGTGCTGGATATGGTCGAGCTCGGATTTTTATCTGAAAGTTTCTGTAACAAATTATTGTAATAACAAAGAAGATACTATCTTTAAAATAGGATAACAAATCAATGGTACTTCTAGTAAACTAAAAGCACGCAACTTGTACCTTTCTATTTATGACTTTACAGCTATGGGGTATTGGGAGAATATTAAGTAGTTATATTATTATATAGTTTTCATTTCTGTGTAGGTTGTGTTATACTCAAATAATCAGTTTCGACAATTAAAGTTCACACATTTACCTCCCACGAATTATCTCTTATTTTCCTAATAATCTTTGTCATTGTTAATATTCTATTGTAATGTATTATACATTTTATGACGTTATTGTGATTTATTGACATTTTTTCTGCATTTATCTACACTATTAGCTGTCGTGAATTTTTCTGTAAGTCGCCAAGTCTTCAGATCATTGTTGTTTAACAAGAACATTGTTATTTCTATGTATTCAGTGTAAAATACTGCGATCGTCTAGTTAGGTACATCCTTTTTTTTTAAAGCTTGCATTATGTAATGACTAAAGCCAAATAACTCGTTGAAAGAAAAAAATCCATAAGTAGCAAAAGTATCAGTTCGTCACTGTTTATAATCAATACTTAATAAATGTCTTTGTATGCAAGGAAATGGTAAAAAAGTCCAAGGTACGATACCAAGACTTAAATGTTTGTCCCACTAGTTCAAATTTGACCAGAAAATGATACAAATAGCAAGTAACTACATATTACAATACTAATAGTAACTGAATACAAAAATGTAAAATTCAGCCCATTCAATAATAACTTAACTTGTATATTAAATTTCAAGTTGTAAGACAATTTTCTTAAAAACCAGACTTGGGGCCTATCTTATAACCCAATGGTTGATATAAGTAGATAGGCAGTAAATTGATGTCAGTTTTAATATCTAGGTACAAACAAAAAATATAGTCTGAATTGTAAGAACACTAAAAGGAATAAAAGCACTTGTGTTGACAGGGTATGTATCTCCTGCTATGTACTAATCTATCGTTATGTGAATCCAAAATTTAACTATCACAGCTAGATATTTTAACTATCACAGCTAGATATTTTAACTATCACAGCTAGATATTTTAACTATCACAGCTAGATATTTTAACTATCACAGCTAGATATATGATATCAGTTGGTCAACAGTAGAAAGGCGGGTTCCATGACAAAGATAAGTAGCCCCCAAGAAGTTGAGACTTTAGGAAAAGTTTTACAATCAATAGTTTTAATGACATTTGCCAAAATTTGAATAATGTTTCTTCATTTAGTATTCGCCGAGAGCAATGACCAATATAATTAAGTAGGACATATACATCATTAAGTTGATACCAAAGGGTCAGTTTCATACAAATTTAATACGTTGAAAAAATACAGATAACAAATAACACAAAAAAAAATGTTTAAATCCCCAAACCCAAAAAGACAACATAAAGAAAACTGCACACAAAGTAATATCTCGACAACTTCAGATTAGCAACATAATTACAAAGAGAAAAAAAAAACTGGGATGAACTCATCATGGGTTTTTCTCATTGTTGAATGCGGACGGTGACCTATGATTGTTAACGTCTACGTCATGATTTGTATCCGAAAGACAATATATAACTTTACTTCCAACAAAAAAGTTTGGTTTTGATTAAAATCATACGAAATTATTTTCTTGAAATCATAATGTTAAGGAAAATTTTGAACCAATGCATGTATATATACTAAACTAAAATGATTTTAACATCTAATACCAATCCATAACATACAATCGACATGAAATATGTCATTTAGTGAAAACTATTCCTACTAATTAACTTTCGTGTTATTTTGCCGAAGTTTACCGAACGTGACCATAATAAACATGATAAACACTCAACACAGAATCGTGGAGCACGTGAAAAGTAAGTGAGATGAAAGACATGCAATAGAGAAATGTTTCTTTTTTTATATATATATATTTTCCATACGTTTCTATTTGTTAATTAAACTTTTTCATAACAGTTGTTAAATCATTTGGTGTGTTAAAAATTTTTTTCGGAATCAATCAACACTATCTAACTAATCTAAAGTTAGTTTACCTTTTCTTTCATCACGATTTTCCCTCGCAATTGCGCTGTGCGGTGGCCGAAATAATAACGAAAGGTCTCGTGGTTAAGATAGTTGCATATGGAAAAGCTATCGGCGAATTAGAATACGGGAAGATGATAACTCAACAGCAGTACATTTCTGAAGATTTTGATAGGATAAAGGATTTTCTATTAAAAGAAGGTCCATATACACGTGTTTTATAGTAACACTTAGCCATTTAAATATATAAAACATATTCAACTTAAAAAAAAATGACTTTAAGAATTCCTTTTTATATTTTTTTCGATAGATATATACTATTTACTAAAATCTGTTAAGATTGCCGAATTGAGCTATCTACAGGCGTTTATAATTTGATAATCAGTCTAGATATAACCATACTATATATAGAACTTCAAAGTACAAACATGCTCCTGTGAATTCAAGTAAAGATTGTTAAACTTTTTCAAAATTGCCCTTGTGTGAAATAAATTCAGGGGAAATTGCCCCCACATAAAATGGGAAAGCTCACAAAATTAGAAAGTGGAAGTTTATCTTTAGTTCTCCACACACCATTACTATCGATTTCTAAGTGTAAGACAAAATATGACGAAGACCTAATTGTATCTGTAGAATCCTTTGTTCAATGGGATAGTCATCAAACTTAAAATTAATCGTATACAAAATGAAACGTGAAGTTTCATGATAATGCTAGCTTTGGAGGTCAGGAACACAACTGACTGTCATAAGAATGCCGACTCTCTGTTTTAAGCACGTAGAAAATACATTTTGAAAATAAAACACGGAACTTGATGATATCAATTTTAGAGTCTTATTTTAGAATCAAAGTGTTGTTTTTTTGGTACAAAGTTTGATATTTGGAAACGTTTAATTTCTGAATAATCAAGCCAATTTGATCTATAACAAAAAGACATGCCAAAACAGGAATAAAATGTTGGTATGTTTGCACTGGTTTGAATTTTAAGTGTAAAGTTTGTATAGTTATCCCTTGACTTTTTTCATGAAATGATTCTCTTGTATTTTATCTAGTTGAAAGTACCGCCTCGGTAGTCTCGTGGTACCATGATCGCCTATGGGTTAAACCAAATCCTCCATCTTGTTATTTGCTGCTTCTCGTCTAAGCATGTTATATTTGAGAATAAAAACAAAGACTGGTTTCGTCAGAGTCAGAATAATGTACGGTGACATGTCTTCTTGAGGGCTGTGAACTAGCACGTTAGTTGAACGTAGGTTCTCAGAAGATAATGTAGGGTTGAAACAATACACTGACGTCAGATAAATTGATTAAGGCTTGGAACACATTATCATATACTTTCCAGAGTAAATATAAAAAATACTTACACCGTTTAGTTTTTATCATAGCAAACATTTTCTTTTGTTGTTTGCATGTCTAACAGGTACAACACAGAACTATAGAAAATATAACGTTTCATAAATTTCTCTCTCTTACTGAAAGTAACATTACTACCGTGAGAAGAAAACTTTGAAGTATAAAACTTTCGATAGTAAGAAAAATAATGAACTAATTGTTTCATATTTTTCATGTCGGGGCCTTTTATAGCCGACTAGACGGTATGGGTTTTTATCACTGTCTATAATTGCTTACATCCACTTCATTTTAACTTTGTTGAATAGTTTTCTCATTGGCAATCATACCACATCTCCTTATTTTATACAGCATGGAAAACTCAGTGTAAAATAGTTATGACTAATTTCAACTTCCGGTATATTTTAGGAATATGACAGTTGTTTTCCATTCGTTTGATGTCTTTGAGCTTTTGATTTCGCCATTTGATAAGGGACTTTCCGTTTTGAATTTTCCTTGAAGTTCGGTACTTTTGTTATTTTACTTTTGAGTATTTATATTTATGAAGCCTATAGACAATATAATATTTATGAAACCTATAGTCATTTGAAGATAAAAAAAGTCACATTATAAAAAAAATGTTGCATGATTGCTACTATCCACCAGAGACCAAATGTGGATAAAGATATTATTACCTTTATAATCGAAATGTTTTACTGTTCAAAACAATTTTCTCTCTTGATTCAAAAAAAAAATCTGTTGAGGAAAATTTATAATGCAAAGACATCCGCGATACAATTTGAAAGACATTCTCACCTGTTAAGATAAAAACTAACAATTAACCAAAATTTATATAAAAAAAATGCAGTTTTGAACCACTTTTAAGCCTTTAAAACTTTGTCACATTTTCACAAATACGACAAAAGGTTGTTTGAACTTCAGAGTACAAACATGAAGCTGTGATGATATGAATCTTAAGTGAAGATTGGAACACTCTTTGCAAATTGCTTTTGTGTGAAATAAGTTCATTGAAAATTGGTAAATCCTCTATTGCTTGTGGATATAGGCCCGACATACATAACATATACACTCATACAATGAGGACAGGTCTCTATGAAAATTAAAAGAATATTAATTTACAATCTTTCTCAATGTTATTTTTTAATGTGTAAATGTCCTGATTAAGAATTGTATTGTCATAAATAACTGCTTTCTTTGTTATAAATCAAAAATATTTTTAGCTATGTTAACTCTCTTATAAATAGCATGTCGACATGTATGAAATGTTAATGTGCGTCTTCCGTTCTTTATCAGTACGGATATCAACTAGATCATTTCCGAGCATCTAAAACTCAATCGATAAAAATTGAAATTTTCATCAAACTACACTACTAAATGTTCAAATGCTAAAATAGAAAAATGTGTGAGCCAAAAAAAAATCGATTAAGTTGAAAGAATTCATGGTAAACGGTAATTTAGATTATGATTCACTCACTCTCGGAAATTTTGAATCCAGAAGAAAGACAAATATAATTATTTTACCAACGTATAGGACAAATATAGATTATAACATGGCATTTTTCATATCAGACCCCTTATCAGCCATAGGGATTGATATCAGCCCGAGAGCCGACAAGCTCGACGGATGATTTTGACCATGGGCTGATAAGGGGTCTGATATGAAAAATGACGTGTTATGTTCTTTTTATCATATACTTTAGCAGAAGACATACAGACAAAAATTATTTTCAAAACTTTGAAAAAATGCATTTGTTGTAATATTTGTTTTGCATTTTTTAATAATATATTTTCTTGATTCCTAATATTTTTTTCATCCAACTTTGTTATGTTTTACACAAAATACGTACCATTGAGGTGTATTTTCCGGAATTTGCCGAATGACGTCGAATTGTCATGCGATAACGTTACAGAAAAGCATGCGCTAATAACCGGAAGCAGTTGATATAAAACGGAAGCAGTTGATATAAACCGGAAACAGTTGATAACAAAAGTCATATCACACGGCTAAAGAAATTCTTCAAATTTAATGAATAAATATATGTACAAATTAGTTTTATCATGGGGTACAATTATACCATTATTTTCTATAAGTATATGATAAAACAACATTATCTTACGGTTGTGGCCTGTTATCTATTTCTTGCGGCATGAAGACGGATATTTCTCTATCACACTGCACGTAGTCTGATACGAAAAAGTGATACGAAAACTGCGTTAATTTGATTGGCTTATCCAGCATCATGAGACGATATTACGACATTTTCATTGGCTATTTATAGGTCATTGATGACTTTCAAAGGTTAAGACGATGTACATTTCGTCAATGGCAACGGACATATGTGATCTCTTCAATAATATACAAAACACTCACACTTGACACCTGAAAATCTTCTTATTGTCAAATTTTATTTCATTCTGAAGCGTACAAAAAGTTTTAAAATGTCAAATATTACTGTTTGACTCCGGAAAAGGACATATGACGTCATACAGTTATGTGCAAAAAAATAGACCAACGATTCGCGGAATTTCTAATTTAACACAATGAGAGTGTTGACCATAAGGGAAATAGGTTTATCAACTCTTGAGAATTGGATATCGCTGGATATAAACTCTCGTTATTTAATTTAAACAGTAATAACAAACTCGCCGAGGCTCGTTTATTATTATATTGAAATTAAATAACTCGAGTTGACATCAAGCGATATCAAATTCTCACTCGTTATGAATCCTATAATTGTGACAATAAATCTACAAAATGAGTTATCACATCTGCAAATATTTCTTATATTAGCATTAAACGGTGTTTAAACCAACAGTAAAAAATTACGGAGATCTTGTGATTTCACCGTTAATTCTTTCAAGATAACTTTGCACTTCCACAGAATGACATATATTTATTATTTACATTATTTTCAAACAATCCTCAAATAGTTTTACTGAATAAAGAATATTATACCAGAGTTCTTCAATTAACGGCACTGATTTACTACGCAAGCAGGAACATGATACATTAAATAGATGTATGTTTAAAGTTTACACATTTCTTTTTTTCTCAACAAACCGAATTAAAGTCACATGATTCTTCAAATTTAACCAAAAAAATTAATAGCTACTATTTTACTATAAACACGTGTACATAGACTTTCTTTTAAAAGAAAATTCTTTGTTTTATCCAAATATTCAGAAATGTACTGCTATTGGATTGTTGTCTTCCCATACTCTAATTCACCGACAGCTTTCCGTATGCAGTAACCTTAACAGTGACACCTCTCTCTAGAATTTTGCCAATCGCGGTGCGCAAGCGGTGATGAAAGAAAAAGTAAACAAACGTGGAAAGAAAATAGCCGATTTAAAAAAAAAACAATTAAATACTCCAAATCATTTTACTACTGCTACAAAGTTTAATCAACAAATGGTTACTGGTGGAAAACATTAAAAAAACCAAATAAACACTGGTAATTAGCAGCCAAAGTTTTCGATCAACAATCACTGAATGAAATTTTTTAGTAGATTAGACTTGGGACTATAATATATATTATGTCCCAGATTAGACGTTACGGATTCGTAACGTATGTAAAACAAAAACGTACACAGAGGACTTAGTTTAACATATATGCATGGATTATTCAATAATTTCCTTAACACCAGAAACTCGTCCAGACAAATGGTTTCTTTCAATCCTTTTTATATCAATCAGTATTGAGTATGAAAACGTTTAGAGACTTATATGCATACAATGTGTATATATCAAATTGGTTTGAAAGCGTCTTTTTCGCTGTAAAATATTCGCCTATTTCAAGTCCGATTAAATGATGCCTTCGAGTTTTAACTAATTTTCTGTTACCTGATTTATTGTACAATTGGTAATGCTGTTAGCATTTTTAGGGAAAAGGCTGGTGGCTTTTTATGATGTCAAAACTAGTTTATGTACATAAACACATGTGAAAAATATATTGCCACTGTTTGTGTTTGGATAGTTTAATTTTAGAGATTCTTGTTGTAAAATCCTTAAATGTCATTTTGCACTTAAACACTCAAATGTTTAATTACCAAAACCAATAATGTATAACCAACACACAGGAAAACTGTCTTCCTCAATGCATTTTCAACATGCAAATATGCTATCCAAGTTAATAGCATTAAAATGTAACAACAAAATGGCAACTATAATTTAGGACAAGGTACGGTCAATATTTTGCTACATCTTCTTTCATGTATGTTCCCCTTTTCATTGTTAAATTTCAATTTGTTGCCTGTTGCATTTACTACATAAGTTACAATAGTTGGTGATCTTAACAAAGTCTTTAGAGAATGCAATATTAGGAATATACATGAATTGGTTTTTGATTTTTTACTGAACTACCTTGTTTTCATAAAAAAAAATCGCAGATTTGTAGAGAACAAATTGAAACTACAATAATCATCGGAGTCTGGTTTATTTGAGTAAATGTTGTGAATTAAATGCCCAAGATATCATGCCACCGACTGTTGTGAATGTAGTTTTTTTATTATTATATATCGTTGGAGAAAAAAAATACATATAAACTAGAAAACAAAATGACTTATTTATCTTTATTTACTTAGGTCTTCTTTTAAGATGGGTTGAGCCTCCTCCTGTTACAGTTAGAATGTCACAAGGATTCAACACAACAACGGAACTTATTCTAACCCTACCGTTTTACCAGTGGCTCATAGACGAGGGCTTTTTTGGACAAGCGAATTTTTCATCGGGAATCACGTAGGTATTTGTAGTGAAGGGTGTACCAATATATAGATAGCATATAGCTGAGAGGGTAATAGAGCATATTGTTACCCCGGAAAAACATGGTAAATCAAGGCGAAGCTATGTGATATTAAAGTGAATGTTCTGTTATTGTATTTTAAATTGAAAGTAATAAACTATTACGTCATATATAGATACTTGGCCTTATGCTTGCGTACTGGCATGGCAATATATATGGTTTTATAATGATTTTATTTTCAATAAAAGTGTATGAAGGTTCACAAATATACGGATTCTTTTTTGTGGAAGAAACATTATTAAAGTCAAAGATAAAAAAAAATCTAGTTATAAAGCAGACATGACACCTTCTTTTATTGAACCCCTTTTGAGTACTAGTATATTTACTCTTATGGTCATGTTTATTGACGATGCGACATGAAATGTTTAAAGGTGTATAAAGGTATATTTTAGTCAAGGAAAACATGTCTTTTTTATATCTTCGTGAGCGTGAACTACCTAGAACTGTTGGATCGTTTGTCTCGTATTTATATGTAACTATCACTACTGTTTAGCTTTTACAAACCGGTCATAGTTTCAAACACTATCAAACATATTTACCTCTGTCGCTCTCATACGTATTTTCCTCTTGAAGCCGGGAACACTGTCCAATGGCTTTCAGTGTATTATATTTGTTTTGCGCTAAATTTAAGGTAAATTTTAATATGTTGGATTGTCTTGAACTAGAATCTGACACAGGAAACATTTAGCATATAGACGAAAACACTTAACATATAGAAGAACACAATAAGCATATAGACGAAAACACTTAATATATAGACGAAAGCACTCAGCATATAGACGAAAACACTCAGCATATAGACGAAAACACTTCGCATATAGAAGAACACCTTAAGCTATAGACGAAAACACTCAGCATATAGACGAAAACACTCAGCATATAGACGAAAACACTTGGCATATAGACGAAAACACTTAACATATAGAAGAACGCACTAAGCATATAGACGAAAACACTTAGCATATAGACGAAAACACTCAGCATATAGACTAAAACACTAAGCATATAGACGAAAAAACTTAGCATTTAGACGAAAACACTTAACATATAGAAGAACACACTAAGCATATAGACGAAAACACTCGGCATATAGACGAAAACACTTAGCATATAGACGAAAACACTTAGCATATAGACGAAAACACTTACCATATAGAAGAACACACTAAGCATATAGACGAAAACACAGCATATAGACGAAAACACTCATCATATAGACGAAAACACTTAGCGTATAGACGAAAACACTTAACATATAGAAGGACACACTACACATATATACGAAAATGAATAGATACTGCTCCGGTACAGACATTTTCTGATTGAAAGAAGTCAGTTAAATCAGGTTTTAAAGCGCCACAATTCAAATATTAAGATGATGAAGATTTCGTCCCTTTTGCCTGTATTGGGGTGTGTTCTAGCTGTCAATTGTACCACATCTCATTTATTTCATTGAACAATTGCTTTCGTTATAGATGCATATTTTGTTTTCTTATTCTATGGTTTTCTGCTGTTTTTCTAAAGGTTTTTTCTTTGATTGAGTTTTTTTTTATGTTGTGATTTGATATATCGGTGCTGAATAATTAATCGAGGGCACGGTAAAACAAATAAAAGGACCACATTTCTTGGAAATTTCTCTACCAAGTCAGAACAAATATAAATCAACTGCTGCTATGACATTGCCAATTACTAAGTTACTAAGTTTGAGGATGGGTGAAATTAGAGGGGGTTCATATTGTTTATAACTTTGGTTAACTTACTTTTAATTTGAAGGACATACAAGTATAAATCAGATCCATATTTGTAGAAATTTGGGTGTAAAACAAACATACCTATTTTACAACATTCAAAGCGCTTGTCGGATTAACTTTTGTTTTTTTTTTCTTCTTCAATTTCTTAGCAACTTAGATGACGCAAAATATTGGTGTGAAACTACGACATGTCCCGCTCCATCGTCTGCTATACAAGAAAATTGCTGCATACATCATATGAATTTACACAGTTGTCCTCTGACGGATGTAACGAATGGTTTGTGTGGACCTTGGATTCCTGCACGAGGTCAGATAATAACACACTCGGAAGTTTTGGTTGGAACTGCTTTAGTTGGAAATTGGACCAATTATGTTCCTGGGCTGTATGTCCTCGGACAAATGTCAATAATATCACATTTCAAAATTGCTGGATCTAGTATTGCCTTAGTGTATGATCTAACAGTTGAACCAAAAACTGGTAAGAGTACCTCTCAATTAATGTCTTGCCTTTGTATATAATCAAATGTTTGCAACCATATGAATATATGGCGGTCTTATTCGTTAGTCTGAAATATAAAAGTACAAGTGGAAAATAAAAATACTTTGTACGTCAGCTTCATGATCTTTGATTAATTTATTAAAGTATGTTATGGATAAATTCCTCTAATTGTGATTTATACCTGCATGTTTTCCCATAGATACAGGTTAAACCATTAATATAAAACGTAAATCAATATGTGTTATATATGACATATAAATTGAATCTGAATGTCTAAAGTTAACTATATAAAGAACTTAATTAAAATTTCCATCATTTTCTATTTGTACCTGTATATGATATTGAATTACACACTTTCAGGACCTATAAATTCTAATATCACAAAGCATATTAAAAATATGTCCATATGCAACAGCCTTGAGGAGGACATAACTCATAAAAGATTATTTTATTATGGATATGACGCTGCCTCTGGTGCATGGTCAACGAACACTGAACATTAAGGTTTATTTGGTTTTATTATTAACTTGTGTTATATTCCAAATTTGGGCTGTTTTTTTCTTTTGTATTATCTTTATTGTATATGTTTAATGTGCGAATCTGGTTATACGTTGTATGTCCCTTTTGGTCATAAATATTCAAATAATTATGCATACTTCTTCGGTTTTGAGCTTTCCTGATAAAGATAAGTCCTGAAATGCGTTTTGGATACACAAAATTTATAAAGTTTTAATTTGTTTGAATATTTGTACAAGAACAAAAGCCTTCCACAAAACAATCGGATATTTTGTAAAAAAAAAAGGTTTATAGGGAAAAAGATATTGTTAGAGATATATCTCTTATTATATGTAACGTGGCCATTTTTGTTTGGTCAAAAATGTAATTTATGTCATGTAAAGGGCGTCTTAGTGACGTCATCATGACAATTTATGTCATGTAAAGGGCGTCTTAGTGACACCATCGTGACAATTTATGTCATGTTAAGGGCGTCTTAGTGACATCTTCATGACAATTTATGTCATGTAAAGGGCGTCTTAGTGACGTCATCATGACAATTCTGCACTAAATGTATCGCCAAAAATATTATTTTATTATATATATATTATTATTGAATAATTTGTAATTAATAATGTTTTTGTAAGTGATGGTTACCCTTTGATAAGCAAAACAGTTTTAGTGTTTTATATTAATTATTATTTTTTTCTTAATAAAGTATTGATTTTATTTAGATTGTGGAAATGACCTATGTGAGTCAGACGATGGAGAAGACTGTACTGTTTGTCCTAAAGATTGTGGAACCTGTCCTCTTCAAGACTGGCATTACGGAATAATAGCTGCTTCTATTCTACTAATATTTATTGTAATTGGAGCTATATATGGTGTACGTTTCAATTAATATGGCTAAATAAATATATGCTAACAGCACAACTGATAGTAAAAACATTGTCAATTCAAAATTTAAGATATAGCATTATGCATAAGTATCCGATTGACAAGCAAGCAACGAGAAAAAGTAGAGGTATATGCAGCGCATACATGCCTACTTCATCAAAAACAATCATACCACATCTTATTTTTATATTAATATATGGCAACTGAAATGTAATATAAAGGAATATACTTAATATAAAAGTAAATATTGTCCTCGTTTTGAATAATGACAATTGTTATAGTTTTCTTTAAACCTTTTTATTTTCAGTATTTCTCTTACCAAAAAAGAAAATTACTATATGATAGCAGTTGGATATACAAATATGATGACATTAAAACAAGTAAGCTCACGTATACCACTGTTGTGTTGTAGTGTATTAAAACAGGTCAGGTTAAAGATCGGTGAATCGGAAGAAAACGACTGGCGCTGTAAAACGTCTTGACATCCCTTTTGTGGGAGTACCATTTAACTACTAATAATATAACTTGTGAAGAACATTTGATTTGTTTTAACTACCGTCAAACACGCTTGAATGTCATCATACTTAACAATAAGGCTTGTATTCATGAATATTGTGTTGGTCAAAAATAGCTTTTAATGATTGTTATTTCTTACATTTAGCAGTGAGTCAATGATGATGTCGCTAATTGACTGATTGTGAATTCTAGTATGGCTACTTCTACTAAGCATAACAAAGTTACTGCAATGGTTTTGGCATCATTAATTGCACATTTAATCTTCGGTTTATAATTCTATTTTTTTTTTTTTTTTACTTTTCATCAACTTTGATGATTTTAATAGCAAAAAAAATGATTACCACTTGACGATCTTTATAAAATGTTTGAATATTTTCTAATTAATCATAACCGATATATTAAAACTGGACCAAACGGAGGACGTATAGCCCCCGGTACAACTGGGGAAAGCGCTAAATCGGTTTTGTGCCTACTTTCGAAAGATCTATATCATCAAGGAAAGGAAAGGAATGATGAAACTGTTCAAGAACGAAAACAAGAAAATCTATGTTTGCTTTGTCACAAAATTTGTAGATAAATTGCAATTTGTTGCCCTTTAGATGCCTTTTGGTTATATGTGTCGTTGTCTAATTGACGTATAGCTTATCCTTGTATCCCACTATACTAAAATACTAGGTGGTAGAATAAAATATATTTCTGGTAAAAACAATACTGAATAGAATTATAAACCGCAATTAATGATGCCAAAAACATTGCAGTAACTTTGTTATGCTTAGTAGAAGAAGTAGCCATAAAATACTAGAATTCACAATCAGTCAATTAGCGACATCATCATTGACTGCTAAATGTAAGAAATAACAATCATTAAAAGCTATTTTTGACCATTGGATTTTTTTTTTCATTCATGATATCGTGTTGGTGGAATAATTTTGCTTTGCTCAAAGTTGCTTTCGAAGTGTTGAATATAATAACCAACTTGATTCATACATTTTTATAAACACTCTCAAAGGATTTTATCAGCCTTTCCTCTTATGCATTCACGACTGTGTAACAGATATATATACCGGTATAAAGGCTATATTTCGAAAGATAGACATTTTTTATACAATAACAGCAAAAAAAGGTTAAGTTCAATATCTATTTCTTGAATCTGAAGACATTTTGAATGATCCTATTTGATTCAAAATCATACCTTAGTCTTAGTTCAGTACCCGTTTTTTTTCCACTAGAAAATGTATACATACCTCAATGAACACACACACGGGATATGAATACATAGGCGGCAAATTTGGGAGGGAAGCTATGTATACCAACCTTTCAGTCGAAACTTTTTGACAGGCAGTATATTTACTCATAAAATAAGCTTTTTATATATTGTTTCAACTGATGTGATTGCAACGACTCTTTTTATGAAAGGAGGATATGAGGGCCTGTGGCAATCCTGTACTCCCTGGATTACATTAATAATTATATGACATAATAGCTTGACCTTTACGTTGTTAGTTTGCTACAAAATATTGACTTTTTTCATATCTTCATACCATAACAATTATAATGCAAGTTCGTGTATGATACCAATGCAATACTTGCTCTAGTGTTAAATAATATAATGTCTAAAACTATCATTGTTATTTTTAGATGAAAATCGTATTTGGATGGGCAGCATGATTAGTCGGACAGACGACAAGTTCGAGACAGGATTTAATCTGACACAGGTCTTTGTTTCAACTGGAGACGTGTAAGATCATTTTACAATTCAAATAAACTACGTTACCTTCAAGAAATATTGAAAGTGTCGCATTTATTATGTTTATAACAAATCCACATATATATAAACTACGTTAACCTCAAGCAATCCTGAAAGTGTCGCATTTATTATGTTTATAATAATCCACACATATATAAACTACGTTACCCTTAAACAATCCTGACAGAGTCGTATTTATTATGTTTATAACTAATCCACATATAAACTACGTTACCCTCAAGCAATCCTGAAAGTGTCGTATTTATTATGTTTATAATAATCCACATATATATAAACTACGTTACCCTCAAGCAATCCTGAAAGTGTCGCATTTATTATGTTTATAACCAATCCACATATATATAAACTACGTTACCTTTAAGCAATCCTGAAAGTGTCGTATTTATTATGTTTATAACCAATCCACATATATATAAACTACGTTACCCTCAAGCAATCCTGAAAGTGTCGTATTTATTATGTTTATAACCAATCCACATATATATAAACTACGTTACCCTCAAGCAATCCTGAAAGTGTCGTGTTTATTATGTTTATAATCAATCAACATATATATAAACTACGTTACCCTCAAGCAATCCTGAAAGTGTCGTATTTATTATGTTTATAACTAATCCACATATATATAAACTACGTTACACTCAAGCAATCCTGAAAGTGTCGTATTTATTATGTTTTATAACTAATCCACATATATATGAAAGTAAACAAACAAGTACACGAATCATTAACTGAGAAATTAACACGTGGCAAATGAACACATGTGACAAATGAACACATGTGACAAATGCAAAAGCCTCTGGCTTTTGGTTTAGAAAATGTGATTTGATCAAATAGATATAAGAAGATGTGGTATGAGTGCCAATGAGACAACTCTCCAACCAAGTCACAATTTGTAAAAGTAAACCATTATAGGTCAAAGTACGGCGTTCAACACGGAGCCTTGGCTCACACCGAACAGCAAGCTATAAAGGGCCCCAAAAATGACTAGCGTAAAAAAATTCAAACAGAATAACCAACGGTCTAATCTATATAAATCAAAGTACTGAAGTACTGAACATCGGATTACCGCAAGTTCTTGTGGATGGTCACAAGCACTTGTCTCAGAAAAAAAAAATCACATCTTTATACCTGAAAGTGAGGTGTACAGATATGAAAAATTTTCTGAGACAAGTTCGTGCGTGGATGATAAATAAATGACAGGGAATTCAACCTCACCGTAATAACTATTATATTGTAGTGATACAAATCAGTATACTCTGGTTTGTTGTTATATATTATATTAATATTTGTATATTACAGTTACATGTATATATAATTTTCATCCATTTGTATATCATTCTATTCTACTATATTAATAATAGTGCAGTGCAAGTGCATGGTGGACACTCTTCTGCAATAATTTGATTTTTCTAATAGATTGAATTTGAGTAAGCATTCATATAATTTCCCGCAAAACGTTCAACCTGCCATGCAGAGTTATCGGTCCTTGAGAGAAAGCAAGGACCGATAACTCTGCATGGGAGATTGCAAACGTTCTTGAGATATTTTTCCGCATGTGTTAACACAATTTTTTTCTGTACGTGTGCATAGATATTAATCATTTTATACTTATATATATATATATAACAAAACATTTTCATATTATTAATTTATGTTATAAAAAAATATTTTATGAGTATTCATTGAAGAAATGTATTTATAACAAGCGATAAGGAATGTTATTTTGCACTCGATGATGTCCGCGTATTTATAGATTATAGATCGGTTACCAGTCAAACACGAAAGTTACGTAATGGAAATCTCTCTGGCAACAATACATCGGAATGCCCTCACGTTCATCGCGATGTAAAAACGAGAAACGAGAAACGAGAAACACTTATGAACCACATCAACAAACGACAACCACTGAACAACAGGTTCCTGATTTAGGACAGGTGCTCACAAATTCAGCGGGTTTAAACGTTTTAACAGGCGCCAACCTTCACCCTAACCTGACACAATAGTGTAACATCACAACATAGAAAGACATACTATAAAATATCAATTGAAATAGCTTAAGTAAATCAAAAGTCAAAAGACATATTAACAAAAACAACTAAACATTAACTGAACGAATAAAATTGATCTATGACACAATGTAAATACAAAATTAATACAAAATGAGGGGGGAGATGCAAAACAATATCAGAAAGACAACCATAACCTTGGACAAAATGCCACCAAATAAAATAACGTCACAGGTAAATAAAAAATAATTTTATTGTAAGGTATACATGGAGTACGGAAATATTTTTTAAAAAATAAATAATTTTGTTGTTCATAGTACGAAAACAGAAGTGAAAATTCATCGTCATACCAAACACTTATCAAATGTGGTATATATTAAAAATAGTGAGACGAGATATAACACAAAATAAGTTAAAATTAAATAACAAAAATGCATTACAAATTGTATCAACAGGTCAAATTAACACGAAAGTGCGATTTGAGAGTACTCGCAATTACTGAAAGCTAGTTAAAAACCAAAAACAATTAATAATAAAAAATCATGCATCAGAGACTAAAATCAACTAAAACACATCCAAGGGATTTAGTGTTTTAAGTCTATAATGACGTCATTAAACTCCCTTGTGAACCGGTGTCATATAGTCATTTTCCCCCATGCCAGTTTTTCCCCCGGGGGAAAAATTGGCATGATCTCATTTCCACCTAGGGAAATTTTGGATCATTACCATTCTTCCCCCGCGGAAAGTTGACAATACTAATACATATAGCCACTTTTCCCCCATGCCCTTATTTCCCCCCAATATGGATTTCACTATACATGTATATATGTAGGACTCTAAAGTGCGATGGTACTCTAAAGTGCGATGGTCACGCTAAGATGGACAAAAAGAGTAAGGTTAGAGGGCTTAAAACGTTAAAGTACATGGATGTTAAAAAATAGTCTTTTTGCAAAAGCTAATATGCTAAGGTATAACATATGTGATAGGCTTTATAATTTACCGGTAGGCTTAAGCGATTGTTTCTAAATTTAGAAGACCGACCACGTAATAATTGCTAGAAAGGTAATTTAGGTGTCACCAAATACTATATTTCCTGTAAATAAATTGTTTACAATTCGGGCGTATTAAATATTTGGATAATTGGTGTAGCTTGCCGTTCACACAGTCTATCAATAATGTGAACACCTCCCTTACATTCGTCATTGTAAATTACAAATACAAAATTCATTCATTGTCGGAATATGTAACATTTAATTGTTTAAGGTTTAATTTAAATGAGAGAGAAAGGCGATGTTCTCCGAGCTTTCTCCTTTTTCGTAGCGAGTACAAATACATGTTATATTTTCCTGCAATGTACAAACTAATGTTTTAGCCGACAACTTATAATTTACGCATGAAAACATGTACCTTTAATTTTACCGACGTTACTTTTCAATAAAATCGACAATATTTTAACGGGGACCGCAAAATAAACTGCAAGTTACATAAACAATGATTTAAATGTATCCGTTCGCTTCCAATAGAAGCAGGATACAGGATACTTATGCGTATACTATTTTGTATCTATATAGTAAAATGGTCGACTGCAGGTTACAAGTCCTTCTTCCAGCACCCGAAAAAAAAACCACATTTGCATCAGCCGACAATGCACGGTAAGGTTTAAATTAATTAAGTCATGGACATTTGGTTTAAAAGTTGTTAATCAAATAAATTTATCTTCCGGCATGTTCATTTTTGATTTATATAAACGACTGTTAACGTCATAATCCAACTACATTTCTTACGTCTATACTTTCGCGGACCATCGGACTTTAGCGTATGGAGGCATCGCACTTTAGCGCAGACCATCGCACTTTAGAGTCCTACATATATACATAATATTACGGTCATATACTGCATATATTAATCGTATTTTCTGAAGAAATGATTGATTCCTGGAATGCTAAAATAATATGTTTTTCGGCTTGGGTTGCATAGAAGAAATGTTGGGTACAAATTGTGTTCGTTTTGTTGACACGCGTGGCACTAGAAAGGTCTGGCGTCTGGAAGTGGGTTGGGGCACCTATAATTGTTACAGGGGTGCATTCGAAAAAAATATCCCGATTCATATATTGACTCTGTCCAAATATTCTATTTATTCGTATGGCTTACATGAAAATGTGTTTCTATTCATAATTACTGTGGATGATAAAATGCCACTGTAAAATTCTGAGATTTTGTGGATTGTACATTTTGTTAATGGTTCACCCTAACAGATAAAATGGGATATTGTGGTGTTACTCTAAGGGTCAGATTAAATGGGGTTTTGAAGTTTTACTTTTATTTACTCGTTCTCAGGGTCAGGTTAATTATTTTTTTTTAAATTCAGAACGAAATTGAGTGATAGATGTTTTATAGAGCTTATAGAAAATATGTCTATTAGACGATCGAACCTCGTTCAAGCATATCGTTGGAGCGGGACGTAATCATAGAAGTTTTTATACATGGTACAACTGAATGTGCTTATCAGTAATCAGATACTGAACTTTTAATTTACTATGATAATTAAACAAATTGACGTTTGGATAGCTAAAACACTAGACTAATGACGTTTTTATTTCACGTATTATAACGTATCCCTTGAATTTTATACAAATTCTACAAATATAGTTTCGTTTCAATTACAATATTCTGTTTTTGTTTTTGTCGATTATTCATACTAGTAATTTAACTTCAATGGACAACAGCAATTCTGAGATGAATGAAAATGAATTGTCATTAAAATGGAAGTAACGGCCATTGATACGTATAATTACCTCTTATTGATATTATGTTGATTGAATTTGTGAACTTTGTAAACAGACGAATCGAATAAAACCGCTTAACTGTTTTCATCAATCAATATTTTTAATTTGAGTTTATTTGTACTGAATCTTAATATCGTTTACAGATAATTCTATAAAATTCAGATCAAAAGTTCAA